TAATCCAGGAAAATGGAACTTTAAGAGTATAGCTGCAAAGTAAAGGAAAGCTTTCTGAAACATATTTACAATTTACAATCAGTACATCGATATAGTTTATAGTACATATCATTTTAGAGCAACTGGTGTGCTACATTGAAATGTAATTGCAGAAAGCTTTCCATATTGCTTAATAAAAAGCAGATGTTATACATGTGTCACTATGGGGATGCTGAGATGGCTCCAAGTTTTAGAGCACTTGTATATCTTCTAGAATATGTAATTGTGGTTCCAGATACCCATGTTACATGGTTCACAACTACCTGCAACTCCTGATCTGGAACACTCTATGCTTTCTTCTGATCTCTGCAGGCATGCACACATGTACGGCATGAATACACATTGACACACATACATGCAAATAAATGACAAACATCTTGTAGCTAGCTGGTGAGATATCTTAGAGGATAAGTTACTAGATGCTTTTCCTCAGTATTTGGGTTCAATCCCCAGTGCTTACATTGTAACTCACAGTCATTGAATAGTCTGTTATTTCCAGGTATATAAGATACAAAAGTTTATTGCAGGAGTGATGGTACAGGCCTACCATTGCAGTAATCAGGCTGAGTCAAAAGGAGTACAAATTCTAGGCCAACCTGGATAATGGAACTTTCCCTTAAACTAATTAAACCAAAAGTTATAGACATAAATTCTTATTAATTTCTGTCATGAGCATTAACAAAATTACAAAACTTTAACTGAATTATCCAGCAAAAAATGCTTTATCCAATGTGGAAAGGAAGATAATGCCCAAGTCCCCAAATGCAGAAAAAGTGGATATACAAGTACCTGTATATTCTGCCCCAGGGTATCTAATTCTCTCCTCTCATATATGCATTCACACCAGGACATATACAAAAATATCTTTGGATTAACACTTCTGTAAAATATCTTCAGGCTAGAGGGTATCTTGGTTGTTAATAAGACTTGTTTCTCTCCCTCAGTACCTGGGTTCAATTTTTAGCACTCATATGACATTGTACAACTACCTCTCCATTTAAAGGGGATCCAGTACCCTCCATTGACCTTGGTGGACAGTAGAAAGCAATTGATATGTAGACATACACGCAGGCAACACAAAAATATACATGAAGTAATTTTAAGTAAATCCTTATAAATATGTTACTAGTCTAATCCTGTCTATACTTTTAGGAAAAGGATGAGATAAAAAGAATGTGATATCTTATGCGGTTAGATAAGTAACGAGATAGTATTTTCTTTATATTGTTTATGATTTCTGAAACAATCTCACCATATATCCAAGTCATCTTGAGATTGTGTTGCACCATGATCCACTGAAGAGGCCTAGGATTTTAGGGATGTGCCATCATGTCCTTCCAAAACATTCATAAGTATCTAACATTTTATTGAGATAAATAACCATTGTATTTGTTTTTATATGTTCTATAATATATTGACCTATATTTTGATCATGACTATTGGATATCAGTAAGAATAGAAAAAATAACACTGACACATGAATTTTCCCCCTACATTTGCAATACTATGTGAGTTCCCAGTAGTCATTGTGTCCTAGACTGCATGCCTGTCAAAAAAGGGAAACAACTGTCCCTACATATTAGACTTACTGTCTTTATCAGGCTGTGGTTCCAAGAACACTGACCCATTCACTCCTTTAACTACAGTTCATATCCAATTACAAAGAGAACACAGGCACTCAGATGTGCAAAGTCACTTGGAAATGCATTCAGCTAGGAAATGGAAGGGGCCTTACATACATAGGGGTATTTTTATGGGGGTTTGGAATGGTTTTCATTTGGCCAAGTGACATGCCTTGGGAAATTAAAATCATTAAAGTGTGACATGACTAAAGTTATGACAAGCCACAATGACTTTATTCACTGATTCACTGTAGATTCAATTTATTTAATGTGATGTTCATGAGTGTTTGGCCTTAATGTATATATATGCACCATATGGAACACCTTGTTTCAGCTTAGTTCAGAAGATAGCATCAGATCTCCTAAGAATTGGAGTTATAGATGGCTGTGAGTCATCATGTGGGTGCTGGGAAGCAATCCCAGGTCTTCTTCAAGAGAAAAATGTACCCTTTATAGCTCAGCCTTCTTTCCAGCTCTGAGAGCTGTGTCTTGAAGCAGTGTTTCTATTTTCATTATAGAAGCATTTCATTTTGTAGCCCTGTTCTTTTTAATAAAACTTGTGATAAGAGCTCCTTTAGTGTTGAATAAGGAAATGAATGTTTAGGAAGTAAATAAGTGCTTTTTTCAAACTGGAAATTGCATGGCTCCAAATGTTGTTTCTCCAGTCTTGCCTCTGAGAAAAATGTAGGTGAAGATAGCCTTGAGTTTTTTATTCTCCTACATCCATCTCCCAAATTTCTGGAATTACAGGCATATATTAGCATCTCCAGTTTATGAGGTGATGGGGATTAAACCCAGGGCTTTGCATGTGCTAAGCAAGTACTCTGCAAGCTCACTATGTCCCTGCTCATTGTAAGGATTTAGACATTATGCTGGCCTGCCACTGTCATCTGGCAGAATGCACTCAGGTAGTACCCTGCTCAGCCCAGGGTTCCATGGTTGCATAGTCTGCAGCCCACTTATGGCTTCTTTGTCCCCTCTCCTTTCCCGCTGTTCCCCTAAGGAAGACAGGACTTTTCTTGTCTCCTTTTTCTTCTGTCTTCTCTCTGTGTCTCTGTCTTTACTTTATTTTCTGACCTCCTCAATAAAACTTTTAATATGAAAAAAAACATTTCAAAGAAGTTTTATATAATAGTGCAAAAAGAGATCATGAATTTGAAGAAGAGTGGGGAGGGATATAGAGGAGGATTTGGAGTGAGGAACAGGAAAGTAGAAATGTTGTAGTTATATCATAATCTCATTAACAATATTTAAAATGTTACTATGCATGCTGTGATTACTAGGAAGTTTTATCTTTCAAACACAATGCAGAAGAAAAGCAAAATATTTTCTGTTCTCTCAGTGGATTATTTTAATCTTTTGCAGTTTCTAAGCATTTGGCTACTGTGTGGCCAGGCCTTTTAAGTGAGTACTCCCAAAATCATTCCTTGTCTTTCTGTCACATATTGAGCAAATGCCAAGGCAGAGATTGACAATAAGAACTCATTTGGCTTGAAGAATTTCCATTAACACTGATTACCACACATATTTATTGTAAAAGACTGTTTGGTTATCAATTAAAGCAGCAAACAAACTTTCAATAAAATAAAAATTAGTACTCTTATCTGCCACTCCAGAAGTAACACTGGCACCTGTGTATTTCTCATGTCATTTGAGTGGTGCTATTGTCAGGGAACATTGTGCATCTATCTTTGAAGCTGAAGATCAGTTCTTGCTTTGGAGAGTGGGACATCATTCTTTGTAGAGACTGCTATTTACAGAGTGGCCAAGGTACTATTTCTTTGAAACCAACTGAGGGTATCCCTTTCTATTGCTCTGGATTCCCACAAATTTGAAATGCATGTCCCTTTGGAAACTCCTTAGGTTTTTCTGAGGTAGTAGGTGCTTATCTGTGTAGGCAAATACATTTCATTTTTATTTTTAATCATTTCCCCCAGGCCTTTTGCACCCTCTTTATTTTTTACCTGTTTGTAGGAACTGAAAAGGGCTAATTTCAAAGTTAAGTTATAAATAACATCAACTTATCCCTTATGTCTGGATTAGAATGGCTGGTAAAATAAGCACCTACTAGTATCCATTTTTTAAGAAAAATATTAACAGCAATAAAATTTTAATCCTGCATGTACCATCAATTAGCTTTATCCCTCCTAAGTTTCTTGAGCTTATGAAGACCCTGTCTCAAACAAAATAAGAAAATTAAAAATAAATGCTTAGTGAGGTCTTGTGCTGATTAATTTGTATGATCATCATACAAGCTAGAATCACATTAGAGAGTCAACCTCAACTGAGAATCTCCATTCCATTTGCCTGTTTGCAAAACTATAGGTCATTTTCCTGATTAGTGAGTGATGTGGGAGGCCTCAGCTCATTGTGGGAGGTGCCATGCCTAGGTCCTGGAGTTATAAGACAATAGGCAGAGGAAGCCGTGGGAAATAGGGTCTCTGCTTCATTTCCATCCAGCAGGTTCCTACTTGAGTAACTGTCCTGACTTCTCATCACAGTGGACTGTGATAGGGATGTGTAAACCAAACAAATTCTTGCCTCCTTAAAGTGATTTTAATTATGACCTTTATCACAGCAACAGGATCAATTTGGAATGGACAGGGATTACCATTTTACTACCCTCATTAATAAAGTATTCTACGTACAGAAATATTTATGGCAGAGGTGAAGGTGCAGATCTACAATCTCAGTATTCAGGCTGATGCAAGAAGAGCACAAATTCTAGGGCATTCTAGGGTGCATATCAAAACTTTACTTTATACTAATCAAACTAAAAACTTTCATACATAAATTTCTAGTAATATATGTTTTGAGAATTAGAAAAACAACTTTGATTGACTAGCCCTGTACCCAAAATGATTTATTCCTCATGAAAAGGGTGGATAAATGTCTTAGTCTCCAAATGGGAGAAAGTGACATGAGATTGTATAGCACTCATCTAGTGTCAAGTTCTTTAGTAACTCCAATCACACTTTTATGACTGGTGATAATGGGACAGTCAGGTCTGGACATTGGCACACTCAGCTATGTGTCAAGGGAACAACTCATAGTGGGTCACAGTGCAATGACACAGGCAACATAGCCAGCAGGGAATGAAAACTACAGTTCTGCAACATCTATAGCACATGCTCTAAAATTGGCAATTAATAAATGGGACCTCTTGAAACCAAAAGGACTCTATGAGGCAAAGGCACCATCAATAGGACAAGATGGCAGCCTACAGGATGGGAAAAGATTTTCACAAACTCTACACCTGATAGAGGACTAATATCCAAAATATATAAAAAAACTCAAACTAGACTTCAACAAACAAAACAATTTTTAAAAATGGGTACATGTCTGTGATGGCTATTCTTGGTTGTCAAGTTGACTATATCCGTAATAAACTATAATCCAGAAATGGAGGACATAGTTGTGATCCAGATCTTGAGGTCAGAAGACAACATGCCTTTGATCTGGATCTGAATCTTGAGGATGGAAGTCACACACCTTTAATCCAGACTTGGAGGCAAGAACACACAACATCATCTGGGCAACAACTTCTGCTGGAAGCCTATATAATGAGAAGGGAAAAAAAAAGAATAGGTTTGTTCATTCTTCACCTGCTTGCCTTCAACTTGTCAATTCAAGCATTGCTTCAATGGCATTGGAACCTACTTCTTTGGGATTCCAGCATATACAGACCAGCTGAGACACCAAGTCTCAAGGGAATTAGCAGCTACTAGATTCTTGGACTTTCCATTTGTAACTAACCATTGTTGGACTGTAGCCTGTCAGCCATTCCAATAAATTCTCATATATACATATACATATACATACATATATAGACATATATGCATATATACAAACATTTATGGAGAGAGAAAGAGAGACAGAGAGACAGAGAGAGAGAGAGAGAGAGAGAGAGAGAGAGAGAGAGAGATTCATTCCATAAGTTCTGTGACAACCCCAACTAATATGTAAGTGAGGGTAAGTATAGTCTTAGCCAGAGGAATTTATTCAGGACTCCCACCCACAAAGGCAAAGTGGAAGAGAAAACTCAGGAGGCATTGGACATATATGCATAGATTCAGTGGGTAAAGTACAGGGAATTCTACTTTCTCTAAGAACCATGAGATTTGTGATCATAGTTGTGTGTGTGTGTGTGTATTCATAAGTGTCTGCTATACACATCTATACATGTATATGCACACAAGGAAGCCAGAAAATGACATTGGGTGTCCTGCTCTACTTTGTCCCCTCAGACAGGATCTCTCCATGTAGCTCACTGTTTTTCCATTGAGACTGACTGGCATCCATCCCTAGAAATCCTGCTTCTCTTGACCCAGTGTTGAAGTTACAGGAATAGCCAGCATTTATAGGGGTGATAAGGACCCAGACTCAGGCCATTATTCTTGTATAGCAAGCACTCTTACCCACTACACCATCTCCTCAGTCCTTTGTTATTAATTTTCAAATGTAGAATTCTTCACAAATTTGTGTGCCATCCTTGGCCAGGAGCCATGTTAATTGCTCCATAAATGCAAAAGTCAGCACTTAAATCTCTAAACCCACTTTACTGCCAGGCATTTCTGTGCCTTTTATTGTGTATATTTTAAAGTTATTCTAGCAGAGTCTTGTGGAACCCATGCTATCCTCAAACTCACTTGATAGTCAACGATGCCCTTGAACTTAAATCCTCTTGATTCTATCTCCTGTGGGGTTATATACATGTACTTCTGAGCCCCATTTATGCAGTCCTAGGAGTTGATTCTGTGGTAGCCTACATTACAGGGGCATCTGTCTGGTCCAGCTAACCCAAGAGGGGGAGTGTGTTCTGTGGGTACTCACATGATCCTAGCACATTGTGTATGCCAAACAAGCAGTCTGCCAACTGAGCTGTCTCCAAGCCCTGTCAAGATGTTTTCAATCATTCAATGGCACAAAAAGACTTTCTGAACAGAACTCTGTTAACTCAGTCAACTTCCTGTTGCCTGAATGATGTAGGATTCTTACATACTTCTCGAGCACCATATCTGCCTGCATGCCACCATGCTCTCTACCATGATGACAATGGACTGAACCTCTGAAACTGTGAGACATTCCTGTTAAATGTTTTTATTTATAAGAGTTGCCATGGCCATGGTGTCTCTTCACATCAATAGAAACCCTAAAACAAGGTCTAAACAGAATTTTCAATAGAAGAATCTCAAATGTTCAAGAAACAAAGAAACACTCAATATTCTTATCCTTCAGGGAAATACAAATCAAAACTGCTTTGATATTCTATCTTATACATGTCAGAATGGATAAGATGAAAAAGACAAGTGACAGCTCATGTTAGTGAAGATGTGGAACAAGTGGAGCATTCCTCCAGTGCTGGTGGGAGTGCAAACTTATACAGTCACTTTGGAAATCAATATGGCCATTCCTCGAAGAATTAGAAGCAGATTGGAAATAGATCTACCTCAATACCAAAGTACAACACTCTTTTAAGAATCTATCCAAAAACCACTCCAGACTACCAAATGACACTTGCTCAATTATATTCATTGCAGCTTTATTCATAATAGCCATAAACTGGAAACAACCTAAACATCCCTCAACCAAAGAATGGAAAAATAAAATGTGATACATTTACAACATGGAGTATTACTCAACTGTTAATAAAATGGCATCAGGAAATTTGCAAGCAAATGGATGGAACTAGAAAAACATCATCCTGCATGAGGCAACCTGGGCCCAGAAAGACATAAAAGGTATGTGCTCACTCATAAGTGGATATTAGATGATAAATAAAGAATAAATATACTATAATAACAGACTCAGAGAGGGTAATTAACAATCATATGTGTTATGATTGTATAGCCCAGTGTTCTTGTAGGACTCCTAACAGTGGGAGTGGAGAATATCGATGACACTTTTTTCTACTCTTGGGACCTTTTTCTTTATACTAGGTTGCCTAGTCCAGCCTTGATATAAGGATTTATGCCTATTCTTGTTGCACATTGCTATGACATGTTTGGTTGGGCAATATATGAGAGAATAATAAATAAAAAGAAAAAGGAAAAAACTGCAGTTCTGACATGGAGAGCACCATCAGGAAATGATAAAGTGTAGGCAAATTTGGGCCTGATTTGAGCAATCACACTATTATGGAACATTAGGAGACATTTTGATATGAAGGATCTCAGTTTTATTATTCCAAAGAGCCGGTGACATGGTGATAAATGCTTCCTTCCAGAACCTAACAATCAGAAGCACATTAGGTCTCTAATCTGTTTCTAATTAACCCAGAAAGGAAGAAGAAGAAGAAGAAGAAGAAGAAGAAGAAGAAGAAGAAGAAGAAGAAGAAGAAGAGAAAGAATGAAAATCTGAGGGAGGGGCATCTGGGGAATCTGGATGCTTCTTTATGTGCATATACCATCTTCATGCATATTAGACAATTTCAACAACACAGGGATGAATGAAAAATCAAAGTTAGGTTTGAAAAAGGTGTTCATGACTCTCTTAGGATTCCTGTGTCTGGCTTTAGTTGGGGCTGATGTACAGTTTCAGAGGTTTAGTCTGCTATCATCATAAGAAGCATGCAGGCAGACATAGTGCTGGAGAAGGAGCTAATAGTTCTACATCTTTATCCACAGGTAGTAGGAGACTGCCACACTGGGTATAATTTGAGCATATAAGACCACAAAGCAGCTCACTCTCACAGTGGCACACTTCCGCCAACAAGTCAACACCTCCTAATAGTGCCAATTCCTATAAGCCAAACATTCAAACACATGAGTCAATGGGAGCCATTTTTATTCAAACTATCATAATGACATAGTGGAAAAAGAATGTTGTCAAATTCATTCTAGTACAAACCAGGTAGTTATCTTCCATTCTACTCATTCCTGGCAGGGTGAAGGGCCCCGGCGCAGGAGTGAATGCTGGGCAGAAGTGTGCTCCCTCAAAACTTGTTTTATGGACACTGATATTTAAATTCATGAAATAGTCACATGGTAGCAATAGTCTTTGGAACATCAGAAACTGAAAATCTAATCTCATAAAACCAATTAGCAAAGGGAAAAGACTATTTTTTAAATGAAAACCCATACCCCAGTCAATGAATTGATGTCCCAAATAAAACTTAAGTTGCACAAAGGAGTCACTTAGCCATTTTCTGTCACAGTCCACTTTGGTCGGTTTTTAGTCCTTAGCAATAACACTGTACAGAAGCCACAGGAATATTTCCTTTGTGGAGGCATTCAAGATATAAGTTAAATTTCAAATCACAAACTGTACTTAGATATCCAAAGATTACTATACAAATAAAAATCATGCTACCTAACAAAATCACAAAAGTAGCTACAATTGACGTTGCTGTGTAACCTCCAATTTTCTGAGTATCTGGAAGAAAATGCAAATTAAAAGATGTTGAGCCAGGATATGGTGATGAGGCTTTATGCTGAACTAGCACTGGTAGGGTAGGGGCAGTATTACCTGGTGATCAGAATGCTGGCCTGGCCTCTGGGGAAATAGCAGTCTCCCACCAGAGGTGTAAGATGGGACATAGTAACAAGGAGAGGAGTGGAGGTTGGGTTTATGCTGGAAGCCTTCTCTTCCCCCACATGCCAGGACAGCATCCTGAAAACCAAGTAATACTGCCCCTTATCCTGCTTGCAGTCTCAGAATAACTACAACAGTCCCTCCTCTTCTCACAACATATCCATGGCCACAACTCAGGGGCTAAGCAACAATCCTGATCCCCAGAGGCCAGATGGCAGCCCAAACCCCAGAGAGAGCCGGTCAACTCCCTGAAAATCAGACAGAAGCCTTCTACCCTACCAGAATCCAGGCCAGCATCTGAACCTAATGGCTCTCAGCCTAGTCAGAAGGCCATGCACATACATAGCCAGAACTCCAGCCCCAAACTTGGGGAGTGATCCCCCGCTGGACAAGGGGCCATCCAGACCATCAGAAGTCCAACCCCCAATGAGGATGGAGACTCTCTACTTAACCACAGGCAATAGTATTCAGAAGAGCAGAGAGGAAACAGAAACTGAGGAAGAAAACACCCATCCAATAAAGAAAAGTCCAGAAATTGGCACCTAGACTTCCTATAATCACTCCAAATTCAGATGCCGAAATGTAAATATAAGAATACAAACATTACACTCTGGGAACACCTGCCCTGAGGTATGGAGGCACGCCAACTCAACCCCTGAGGACCAAGCTACCCAGACTCTGCTGAGATTGCTGGACTATTCCCACCCCCAAGTAGTGCAGAGTGAAGAGTGCAGAGGTGAGCTGCTTGGCCCCTGACTGGGCCCAAAATCTGCCTGCCCACTCTGGGAATTCCTGCCCAGGAGACTGCAGGCAGGTCAACTCAGCCCCAGAGGACCAAGCAACCCAGAGTCTACCGACATCTCTGCGCCAGTCCTGCTCTCAAACACCTGGAGACCAAGTGCCTCAGACCTGCCCGAATCCACCTTGAGACCCTTCAGAGTAATGGAGCCAATTGCACCCACCAGAAGAGAACCTTGGACCCATACACACCAGGAAAGGAAGAGACACCACCTGCACCCACTG